CATCAACATAGCCACTCACAAGAGAGTTCGAGTAGTAACGATGATGATGATAGTTACTACAGTGTTGATAACGAAGATGAAAGTAAGTCAGTTGATCATAGCGATCACGTGATGTCATCTGCCCTTGATGTAAATATCAAACCCCCGGGGGAAGCTCTTACTAAAGTAAACATTCTGGCTGACTTGGTACGGAAACATTGGATCAGACTCCCTGGAGCGCCTCAACCCGAAACACACAGTCAGTCAACAAGTTCACATGCAATTCACTTTTCTAATGGCAACCAAATGCCTGTATCCAGGGGTGAAGCAGATTCGGAAGAGGGCTACTCTTCAAGCAAGGGAGGGAAGCTTGATACAACTCGGTTTGATTCTTTTGTGCTTAGCGAAGTGCAACTAACTAAGGTCAACAGATCAGGAAATCGTCAGGTTATGGAACCAGTACGACCGAACGGAAACTTTCTGTCGCGATTCACTCTGAAAGAAGTGCGCAGGTCCAAAGTAAATACGACATCCAATCATGACTTAACTGTGAGTCTGCCTCAATTGGTGTCAATTGTGGTTGGAGATCAAGCCAGCCAAGGCAAAGCCAGTCATCCAAGGCATTCTCCTAAGCTCACTTTAACCAAGTCAGAGTCAGACGGGTTCCCCTCCATTACTACGTCAAACCAGTTTACCTCAGTTACCAAGAAAACATTTAACTCGCATATCCAGGTTAACCATGATGCATTGAGCTCTCTTTCAATCGATTCTACATCCACCACACTTCCAGTTCTGATAGAGTCGGTATCCAGGACAGTCACTCCGGAACCTGATTTAGAATCAAATTTACCTGCAAGAACAATACACGATTCATCGGTCGACAATTTTAATGAACACACGGACGGTTCATTGACAGTTCAAATGCACAGACAAGTGGAGGGAACAACAGCAAGTGACGAGTCCGTGCTTCCGATATCGCGAGAGACGACGAAGAAGCAAAAAGTAGATTTCGTCAAAAAGATGGCAGTTGATCCTCGTCTGTTGTCGTCTGTTCTAGATCTGCAACCCTCTCTCCATCAGTTCTTCGCTCCAAAGCAACGCGGTCCCGTAGAGAATCATAACGTTCCAACAGTATCTCCGTCAGATACTACCAAAGATAAATCTGTACCGGAAGTCAAAGATCAGTATAGTGCTGACAGCATGACAAAGATATATAACTCTGATTTTGCATCATTATCGGAAGTCGAAGATCATACAAGTGCACACAGTATATCAGGGCATCTGGAACCAACACACGATCATATTGAAGATCACTCTACTACTGAGAGCTTCCGAAAGGACAAACATTTGTTACCGGAGAATCCTCCCTCAGACACTCCAACAACGGGGGTAAGACTTATGTCAGACAATCATAAACTCATGCGAGAGATTTCCCGTAACATCCATAACCAAAAGACGATCGTTGGCAATATACTTCGTGAAGTAGCAGAGACTGCCGGAAGTAGTCCACTGTCGAAGAGATTCACCTATCATAAACTTAACCTCGTTGAACCAGATAGAGTGAAAGAAACGACTTCCGGTGAAGCCCCCTATGTCATAGACGCGAGACTTTTGAATAAAATATTGAACACTGTTCAATCGTGGTTTAATCATCCCATGTATGTTGTTGACAAATGACGTCACAAGTGAAAATGTATTGTGGATATGTATTCATTATTTCGGTGGTGTTCCGAACTTGATGTGATCCTAAGTTTCGTTGTTCTACGTGTACGAGGTGAAATTTATCAAGCGTTTTGACTGAATAACATACAAGCAACTACTCTGACGGTTGAAATTATTCTACGTGTCCTTAATGATTATTGAAATTCCCTATATGTATTATCTTCATTACCCGTGTGTACATGTTGTGTGCCCTGGACCGTATCTAACAATGTACTAGATAAATTCATATGTATACCGGTGTTGCAATGTTTGAAAAAAAAGTATAAAGCCCTAGAAATCACTTATACTTTGAACAAGAAAGCTAATTCAACGAGGATGTGTGTAGGTTGTTTACATGTGTAGCTTACTTTGAATCTTACGATGAACAAGGGAAACTGTGCAAAGTATTTAGAAAGTACGAAGTTTCCTGGAACTAGCAAAATACAGATGTATTTTTATACTGTAATTGGGAAGATCAGTCAAGCTGAACAGGAAAGATTAATCCAGGATGAAGACAGGACATGTTTTCTTTTAATTTCTATAGTCTAACGAGTAAAAACTCTAAATTCAGTTAAAGTCTTTTTTTATCAATTATTGTTCATTTTCAAATATCAATAATTCAAGGAACGCCTATTGCTCAAGTTTAGCGCTTTCAGTAGTCATTGTTTGTGGTAGTACCGATGTTACATCATACAGCTGTTTCGTCCTTCTAGGACTCGTCAGTAATGTTACATCATACAGCTGTTTCGTCCTTCTAGGACTCATCATTGATGTTACATCATACAGCTGTTTCGTCCTTTAAGACTCTTCAGTGATGCTACATAATGTACATATTTCGTCTTTGTTAAAACTTCAGAGTTAATTAAGCGAAACCCAGATTGGTCGACAGAACATCGCTAACACAATTGATAGCGTTACGAATACTTCCGACTTTTTTTGAAAATATGAATATGCATTCTAAAACGTTTTTTGAAAATTTGCATATTCAATTTTTTTCGAGTTGATGCATCTTTATCTTGTGTCAATGATACCTCTTATGGATGAATTGCACGGCGTACGTGAATAACATGATAATGATTGTTACGACCATAAATTTACAATGAGGAACCCAAAATGAAAGACTTTGTGTATTAAAATGAATGATTGATACAATTAAAACCTTTCGGTAATCTTGTAGACTGATAAAATGATTTATTTGATCCAGTTACACATAACATTAAATATGAAACCGATTTTACAGGTAATAATATGAACTAATCATAGGCAATGCATTGTTCTCGAAACTTAAGACAATAGTTATTAAAATAAATTAATTAGAATAGGAATATATATATTTAACTTTACGACAATTGATTATATGTTCCACCTTCCAGATATAGGCAGTACTCTGACCTAGACACACTGTTACTGTTGTGGTTATCGCCCTGTAAACACGCATCGACATGTTGAGGCGGTGTCGCCGTGTAGTTGGCGGTAGTTACCTCACTGAAAAACATTGGGGAGACCGTCGCAATAAGTGCAGAGGAATCAGGGTAACTACTTAACAAAATGGATAGGGAGAATCGAACCACTAATCTGGGGTGTCACCTCAGGTTACGTAGTACAGCGTCATACCGACAGATTTACACCACGCCCACCTCTGTAAAATTTAGCTTCACCTTTTACAGAGGTGGGCGTGGTGTGACTCTGTCGGTATGACGCTGATCTACGTAACCTGAGGTGACACCCCAGATTAGTGGTTCGATTCAACCTATCCTCCATCAGCTCAGGTGAAACCAACTTTTATAGTGGCAATCCGACACAAAACAATACAACAATACAATACAACAATACAATACAACAATACAATACGACAATACAATACAACAATACAATACTATAATACAATACAACAATACAGTACTACAATACAATACGACAATACAATACAACAATACGATACAACAATACAATACAACAATACAATACAACAATACAATACAACAATACAATACAACAATACAATACAACAATACAATACAACAATACAATACAATAATACAATACAACAATACAATACAACAATACAATACAACAATACAATACTACAATACAATACTACAATACAATACTACAATACAATACTACAATACAATACTACAACACAATACTACAATACAATACTACAATACAATACTACAATACAATACTACAATGCAATACTACAATACAATACAATACTACAATACAATACAACAATACAGTACATTCGAGAGGACAGTGTTTGTTTTGATACAGAATCGACAGTGTCGGACAGCTTGGTGATGTCATGTCGGCACTGATAACAAAAGACGACATTAACACGCAGTCTAATGTCAGAATCGACAGTGTCGGACAGCTTGGTGTTGTCATGTCGGCACTGATAACAAAAGACGACATTAACACGCAGTCTAATGTCAGAATCGACAGTGTCGGACAGCTTGGTGATGTCATGTCGGCACTGATAACAAAAGACGACATTAACACGCAGTCTAATGTCAGAATCGACAGTGTCGGACAGCTTGGTGATGTCATGTCGGCACTGATAACAAAAGACGACATTAACACGCAGTCTAATGTCAGAATCGACAGTGTCGGACAGCTTGGTGATGTCATGTCGGCACTGATAACAAAAGACGACATTAACACGCAGTCTAATTTCAGAATCGACAGTGTCGGACAGCTTGGTGTTGTCATGTCGGCACTGATAACAAAAGACGACATTAACACGCAGTCTAATGTCAGAATCGACAGTGTCGGACAGCTTGGTGTTGTCATGTCGGCACTGATAACAAAAGACGACATTAACACGCAGTCTAATGTCAGAATCGACAGTGTCGGACAGCTTGGTGTTGTCATGTCGGCACTGATAACAAAAGACGACATTAACACGCAGTCTAATGTCAGAATCGACAGTGTCGGACAGCTTGGTGATGTCATGTCGGCACTGATAACAAAAGACGACATTAACACGCAGTCTAATGTCAGAATCGACAGTGTCGGACAGCTTGGTGATGTAATGTCGGCACTGATAACACAATTTGACATGAACACGCAGTGTAATGTCAGAATCGACAGTGTCGGACAGCTAGGAGAGGTATTTTCAATCACTGTTTTACTTTGAGAGTTGAACATGGAGTGCAACCCTGTGTTATTCCTAACTTTTACTTCTGAGATAAGGCTCGTTACAGTAGAGGTAACGCTAAGCCTTGTACGTAATAGCTTATCTAGTCTTCACAAGATAAGATGACCCTTCCGGTAGAATGTCAGTGACGTCATCCGTCCTATTACAGCAAGAAAATATGGCAGTGAATGACAAAAAAACATCTTTGACATCAAAAGAGGGTTCTTTGGGGAAGTCGGTCCCGGGACGAGGGAACGCTGGAGTATCACTTTTCTTTCTAGCGGTGCCCGTTGTTTTAGGATTCTCAGCGTTTGGGGTGTCGACTTACTTGCAATTCAATGAAATCAGAAACCTTAAAAGTCGCGTGCACACTTTGGAACTGTCATCGTGGGCAAGGCAGAAAACGGTTGATAAGGTAATCCGTTTATTTATATATGTTCTCTGTTAGTTGTATGTTTTTTTTTTTTATTTTTTTTTTATTTAAATTCAATTCTGTCTGATTAAGTACAGAAAAAATCACTTCAAAAACTAAGCATGCACTGACGTCATCAGCAAAACATCGAGCTAAAATCATTCTCATCTGAGCAACACGCTATGAAATTTTATCGACCATACGTATTGGAAAAAAAAAAACATCAATTTTCTTGACAAGTATTACCGGCTTGGACTACCTTACCAGAAGATATTCACATGTACATTTTAGTTTGCCTATAGTATGTTCACTGATTTAGCATTATTATCCTTAATATAAGAGCCATATGTGTTAATCAGATCCTGTGCCAGAAAATACAATGATTAAAGAAGAATCAACTGAATATTAATTTAAATTGATAAATTTTGGCTTCGTGTAGTGACGTCATCATCATTCCGTTTTGCAATGTACGAGAACATTTTCTGTGCTATTTCAGATCTCATTTAAGTACTGAAATTCTCTCAGTAGGCATACATGGACTTATGAATGACAATTCAAGGCAAATTCAGAGAGTGTCAAGAAAAATTCCCCGACTTACATTTTTTAAGTCGGTTAAGATCCCCTATGGGACCTTAAAGAGGGCGAACTATTAATTTTCTCATACCCTGCTTTCCTTCTCCGAGTACAAGACGAAGTGTTATCTATATAAATAAGACACGCTGATGAAGTATGAATAGCAACGAACACCGAGCTACAAACGTCTCACCCATTGTAATCAAATTCTACGGTAAAAAGTGTGGATTTACCTGTCCAGGGTAAGAGACAATGAAATGTCACACCGGTAAAAAGTGTGAATTTACCTGTCCAAGGTAAGAGACAAGGAAATCTCACACCGGTAAAAAGTGTGGATTTACCTGTCCAAGGTAAGAGACAAGGAAATCTCACACCGGTAAAAAGCGTGGATTTACCTGTCCAAGGTAAGAGACAAAGAAATCTCACACCGGTAAAAAGCGTGGATTTACCTGTCCAAGGTAAGAGACAAGGAAATCTCACACCGGTAAAAAGTGTGGATTTACCTGTCCAAGGTAAGAGACAAGGAAATCTCACACCGGTAAAAAGTGTGGATTTACCTGTCCAGGGTAAGAGACAATGAAATGTCACACCGGTAAAAAGCGTGGATTTACCTGCCCAGGGTAAGAGACAATGAAATGTCACACCGGTAAAAAGTGTGGATTTAGCTGTCCAGGGTAAGAGACAATGAAAAGTCACACAGGTAAAAAGCGTGGATTTACCTGTATAGGGTAAGAGACAAGGAAATCTCACACCGGTAAAATGTGTGGATTTACCTGTCCAAGGTAAGAGACAAGGAAATCTCACACCGGTAAAAAGCGTGGATTTACCTGTCCAGGGTAAGAGACAATGAAAAGTCACACAGGTAAAAAGTGTGGATTTACCTGTCCAGGGTAAGAGACAATGAAAAGTCACACAGGTAAAAAGTGTGGATTTACCTGTCCAGGGTAAGAGACAAGGAAATCACCAACCGGTAAAAAGCGTGGATTTACCTGTCCAAGGTAAGAGACAAGGAAATCTCACACCGGTAAAAAGTGTGGATTTACCTGTCCAAGGTAAGAGACAAGGAAATCTCACACCGGTAAAAAGCGTGGATTTACCTGTCCAGGGTAAGAGACAAGGAAATCTCACACCGGTTAAAAGTGTGGATTTACCTGTCCAAGGTAAGAGACAAGGAAATCTCACACCGGTAAAACGTGTGGACTTACCTGTCCAGGGTAAGAGACAAGGAAATGTCACACAGGTAAAAAGTGTGGATTTACCTGTCAAGGGTAAAAGACAACTAAAACTGAAACCGGTAAAACGCGTGGATTAACCTTTCCAGGGTAAGAGACAAGGAAATCTCACACCGGTAAAAAGTGTGGACTTTCCTGTCCAGGGTAAGAGACAAGGAAATCTCACAACAGTAAAAAGTGTGGACAAAGACAAGGAAATCTCACACCGGTGACACGCGTGGATTTACCTGTCCAGGGAAAGAGACAAGAAAATCTCACGACGGTAAAAAGTGTGGATTTACCTATCAAAGATAAAAGACAAGAAAATCTCACGACGGTAAAACGTGTGGACTTACCTGTCCAGGGTAAGAGACAAGAAAATCTCACACCGGTAAAAAGTTTGGATTTACCTGTCCAGGGTAAAAAGACAATGATATCTCACATTGGTGAAAAGTGTGGATTTACCTGTCCAGGGTAAGAGACAAGAAAATCTCACACCGGTAAAATGCGTGGATTTACCTGTCCAAGGTAAGAGACAAGGAAATCTCACACCGGTGAAAAGTGTGGACTTACCTGTCCAGGGTAAAAGACAACTAAATCTCACACCGGTAACACGCGTGGATTTACCTGTCCAGGGTAAGAGACAAGGAAATATCACGACGGTTAAAAGTGTAGATTTAACTACCAAGGATAAAAGACAAGAAAATTTCACGACGATAAAAAGTGTGGACTTCCCTGTCCAGGGTAAGAGACAAGGAAATCTCACATTGGTAAAAAGTGTGGATTTACCTGTCCAGGGTAAAAAGACAAGGATATCTCACATTGGTAAAAAGTGTGGATTTACCTGTCCAGGGTAAGAGATAAGGATATCTCACACTGGTAAAAAGCGCGTTTTTACCTACTAAGAAGAAAGATTTTTCACATTAATGGCAACCTGGGGAGGATTTGTGTGGGGTCACTCTCTGAGGTTTTAGGAGAACAAATACAATGTTTCCGTATTATTATGTCATGATAACATGAATATTATTCAAGAATTCGAAAACAGTGACGAAAGGTGATCTTGTTGCCATCTAACATCACATAGACAATGCATGTGTAATATACAAAGGTCCAAAGCTTCTGCTGTAGACTCAAAGTGTTGAGCAACTTTAGAACTAATATCATTGACCCAATTTTTGAACTGTTGAAACACTAACCGGATTCTTGTAACACTGACTTTCCGATTAAGAAATTGTTGGTCGTGGATTTGTAATTCATTTCCGGACATTTGAAAGATTGACCTACTTCCAAACTTGAAGGATATAAATTTTACTGCACAGCTATATGTGAAGTGTCGAAATGGTAATCGTATTATACCATCGAAACATATCGTATATTCATTTTTTACTGAAAACGCTAGAGGTGTTGTGAATGGTATCATACATAGCAGACCTACATATCATATGTATCTGATCACCTTTTGTTACAAATCTGGGGTCATGACCCCGGATATCTGACCTTCTTATAGTCACGCCCCCGCGAAGCGTGATGACACACGCTTCATATAGAGGAGAGGGTTTCCTTCCTTGTGTTCGCCATAGTCACTGTAATGTTCCTATTGATTTCATTCTTTCTGGTCGCTCGAACTTGTCTGATGAAGATAATAAAAACATTTTTCCTGTAGCTCAAACGTACATAAGAATAGTAAATAAATTAAGGTTAGTAGCATATTTATATATTATGACATTACAGATCTAGATCTATTTCCTATTTCTAGCATCGTCTCTGTTTTTTCTATCCCATTTTTTCTACTGATTTTCGAAATAAGACGAAGTTATTTTCCTCCCTTTTCTGTCGTCAATCTCTAAGACGACGTTTTCAGAATCTGTGGGGTTTTTTTGTCGGTTATGCATGCTTTATACAAACTGTGAAATTATTTTCGAGGATTACGTGGGCGCCCTTTATCCGCGATAAAACTAAATCAACGAAAATAAGTAGATAGATTAAGATATATATCTCCTTGAAAATTGATCTCCACGAAAATATACGATTTCGCAGTATATGAAGGCACGTGGGGTGTTTGCTGGCGTTGTTTAATTGAACTGTTTAAAGCCAATTTGATAGCGTGCGACAGAAAACACAAAACCGACACCTGTGCATTGTGTTATCTACCTATACACAAATCTTAGAAAATCGTGACAATTCAGTGCAAAAATTATCTGCTTTGCTTTCACTGAACCAATTTCCCAGGTTAACGTGACATTGATTTAGGGATCTATAGAACTGAAACACAGAAAACAGTAGAATATCGCCTGCATCACGTGAATATTACTGAAGCTTCGTGCTAAACTTTTGTGATTTTAACAATTTTGCTGCACATTATATTATGTATGGTAATATTTCATCAACAGATATTTAAATTGTTTTTTTTTCAATTATTAATCAGTGTGCGTCGTCTCTAGTAGAATACCGATGGTCTTTAATGACTCTCTATGATGTGGCCATGTTTTCACTGAAACATAATCTAGTCCATTTGTAGGGCACTACTGGGATAGATATAGAATATAATGGGTTTGGTATACTATATCCGTTACAGATATCAGATAGAACTACCATTGTGATATTTAATGGATTATAATGTACAATGAGGACGTGGTGTCTAATGGGAGACGATTTGAATGAGTGATTACTTGTATCCATTTACTACTAAACGCGGACTAAATAATACAAAGTTATGGAGATTTTAACTTTCGTCTCAAAGAGTGGAAAGATAATTCACCACCGTCCCTGGAATTCTTTCAGAGACTCCGTCATCTATTCTACAGTCATATGTTTAATTTTGATCATTCTGTGCTTAATTTCTTTACGCTCCTTGCAGAAATTACAACAGATGACAGAGTTATCTCCCTTATTACAAAATTGTTCCTGCATTCAGCTGTAAACTACAACAATGCGAGTTATAACATAAAATTCAATTACTTGGAAATTCCGGAAAAGTTCAGATTTCGTTAGAGGTTTGTATATTGTATAAATATATATGTGAAAATGTGGTGAATTATCCGTGCCCAGTAAATATAGAAAAAAGTTAAAACACTCGAAAACACATGATGTTTAACATAAGCCTTATGTTTTACATTATGTGTTTTCCTGTGTTTTTATTTTCTATCTATATATATATGTATATAAACGTATATCTCCTTAGTATGTTAATTTTTTATCCGACATAGAAACCATCCTACAACCTACCTGATTGTATTCTTTATATAGGCGGAATAATAACATGTTTGCACATGCGCAAATCATTGCAAACAAAAAAACGGCACCTAATTGGATTCTTTACTCACACCCCCTTGTGTATGTAGTGATTTTTATGCCATTTGGACGTGCCTGATATTTGCTAGTATTATATGCTTGTGTCTCTGTTATTGTTCATTTTGTTCTTATTTTGAGAACGTGACATTGCTTACGTGGATCGACCAAGATTTGCGTAACGGTTGTCGTCGTTGAATCAGAAGACGATAACATTCTGGAATACTTGATTTTTTACACTCTTTCTTGAGTCTCTGTATATTTTTATGTCTATATTTTCTCATAGTTTCATCTAATTTTTGTTTGAATTAAAACTGTTAAAACTTGTATATAGGCGTTATAGACGTACCGCAATGCACTCTGGGGGAGATTGTGATATTACGTCATGAATTCAAATTGGCACAACAAAATGTCTCCGTTTGATCTTATCCTTTAAACTTTGTATAACATGAGACTTTTAACTTTATTGAGTTATGTGATAAAACGTTTTTCAAATTTGTTTTCATTTTATATGAGCTTTCATTAAACTCGTTTCGAAATTTTTAGCTTTGTTCGCAACAATTATAACTTCTAAAACTAAAACTCGTTTCACGAAATTCCGTAAGAAGTCTTAATTTAAACACGTATCTTATTGCAACATATTACAAAATTATTTTGATGAAAGTTATTACAACATATAATCACCAATTCCTCAACAATTCGATTACCATATGTATACAATGAAAATTACAAAAAATATAGATAACTTTATTAACAAAAGTATAATGTATGTGTGAGAGAGAGAGGGAGAGAGAGAGAGAGAGAAAGAGAGAGAGGGGGGAAGGAGGGAGGGAGAGGGAGAGAGAGAGTATACGAGAGAGAGAGAGGAAGGGAGGGAGAGAGAGAGAGACAGGGGGAGGGAGGGAGGGGGGGAAAAGAGAGGGGGGAGCGAGAAGGAGAGAGAGGGAGAGAGAGGAAGGGAGGGGGAGAGAGAGAGGGGGAGCGAGAGAGAGGGAGAGAGAGAGTATGCGAGAGAGAGGGGGGGAGGGGGAGAGAGAGAGCAAGAGAGAGGGGGGGAGCGAGAAGGTGAGAGAGGGAGAGAGAGAGGAAACGAGGGGGAGGGAGAGAGAGAGGGGGGAGCGAGAGAGAGGGAGAGAGAGAGTATGCGAGAGAGAGAGAGAGAGAGGGAGGGGAAGGGAGAGAGAGAGGGGGGGGGAGAGAGAACAAGAGAGAGAGAGAGAAAGGGATATCTTACTTGTACTAAGGGAAAAGTTTTAGATGGACAAGAAAAGGGCATATACCAAATTATGACCATTTGGCATAAAGAGTCAATAGAACTCTTAAAAACAATGTACACTGGTATCCACACAGGTTTTCCATTTACCAATAGCGTTCTTACTTTCCTATCCAGGTAAACAATGTTATGCTTGACGTTTTGAACCAGTTTTTAGGCGGTACATCGGATTCTGATACTAAACCGACATCGTATACTTTGGAAGATTTCCGTGGGGTTGGTAATGTCAATATTGTAGAAGTTCGTATAACAGAAGGTGACCGTGTAGACATCAAAACTTCACACTCTAAGCTTCTACTGGTTGTGTTATAAGATGAAGGTGACCGTGTAGACATCAAAACGTCACACTCTTATCTTCTACTGGTTGTGTTATAAGATAAAGGTGACCGTGTAGACATCAAAACGTCACACTCTAATCTTCTACTGGTTGTGTTATAAGATGAAGGTGACCGTGTAGTCATCAAAACGTCACACTCTAATCTTCTACTGGTTGTGTTATAAGATGAAGGTGACCGTGTAGTCATCGAAATGTCACACTCTAATCTTCTACTGGTTGTGTTATAAGATGAAGGTGACCGTGTAGTCATCAAATCGTCACACTCTTATCTTCTAATTGTTGTGTTATGAGATGAAGGTCACCGTGTAGTCACAAAAACGTCACACTCTAATCTTCTACTGGTTGTGTTATAAGATGAATGTGACCGTGTAGTCACAAAAACGTCACACTCTAATCTTCTACTGGTTGTGTTATAAGATGAAGGTAACCGTGTAGTCACAAAAACGTCCCACTCTTATCTTCTAATGGTTGTGTTATAAGATGAAGGTGACCGTGTAGTCACAAAAACGTCACACTCTTATCTTCTACTGGTTGTGTTATAAGATAAAGGTGACCCTGTAGTCATCAAAACGTCACACTCTTATCTTCTACTGGTTGTGTTATAAGATAAAGGTGACCGTGTAGTCATCAAAACGTCACACTCTAATCTTCTACTGGTTGTGTTATAAGATGAAGGTGACCGTGTAGTCATCAAAACGTCACACTCTAATCTTCTACTGGTTGTGTTATAAGATGAGGGTGACCGTGTAGTCATCAAAACGTCACAATCTAATCTTTTACTGGTTGTGTGATAAGATGAAGATATATCCTAACGACATTGTATAATTTTGAAAAATACGTCGATAGACTTTCGAAGGCGCACATGAAAACATCTTCAGAATCAGATTTTATTAGGAACACATGAAAAAACTTAAGAGTTCTTGTGAAAAAAATATTTCCCAGTTACTAAATAAAAGTAGATCTAAATCAAGAAGAACTTGTAAATTCAAGTTGTTGAATCTGTCAAAGAGGATGTTTCTATCAATTCCATAACGACCTCATTTAAAGAAAAAGTGATAAACACTCTTACAAATATGTCCACTAGTACAGCTGAGAGTGTACGCAAGGTTCACAAGGAACAAGTCTTAGTTAAAAAAAACTATGTATACGATAAAACTACAATCAACAAATACATCTGATCCTTTCCAAAGCGCTGAGCCCTTTACGAGTATGTCAGGAATATAACAAAGGTAGAAAGGTGAAAGGTCAAGGGTTAACATTAATACACATATCAAAACAGCTTCAGTTCAAGGGTCAAACACGATGACGAGGTTAAATGGCAAATTTCCGAATAATGTTGCATGTTTCTTGCCGAAAAAATTGTAAGTTGTTGTTTTTGTTGATATGTGCAACAATCTCTGTTACAGAAGGGACTGACGAATCTGCTGGACAAATCTGACTTCCTAGACACCATCACAGAACATCTGACAAAGAGAAACCGTCGCCAGGTCGTCCCGGATTACAGTACACTATTACAACAGTTCGCAGCACAGGAGGTACAATTTTCAGTGACGTCACGCATTCTTTCGGCGCCACTGTTACAATGTACAACAGTTTGCACCACGGGGGAGGGGGTTACAATTTTCAGTGACGTGTTATATTTTTGACACTATCGACGAGCCGATGATCACTTACATTTTTTTTTATGAAACATGAACGATATGGAAACTGTGTCGTTAAATTTTTACTGTTCTGTACAGTTGGCCCAAGTATTTGTTATATATCATCACACGTGCGTCTGGTTGATTCAAGGTATTTCTAACCACGGCCATTCCTAGCCATTCTTACCACGGTCAACGACTTTCTAGATCTTGACGTTGTTAGTCATAAGTGAATGTCCATGGTCGGGAAAATAACACCTCCCCGTTACCGTAATCGATCTGTATTTGAGGAATCGTCCATTTTACTTGACATAATGTGTCTCCTTTTTTGGGGTAGTTTTGAACGCAAATTTGAAATATTGATTTATATTTATGATCTTCCCCAGCCATTTAGAGAAGTTTCTAGAAACCTTTACAAACGCCGTTCTGTTGATAAGTAGGCAGCCAACTGAACAGTTACAAATAACTTATGATCTATTGATAAGAAATATTCATCTATTCCAGCTTCAAGTTTTACAGACGTACTGCATAAACTCTACAAAGATATGTGTAAGAGGTAAGATATATCGATGATGATTTTCACTTCCGTTTCCGTTTTATGACACAATGGTTCAATTAAAAAATGAATTAAGAGAAAAAACTACATGACTGTAAGTAAAACATAGTTTCATGTTTATCTATATACCCCAACAATACTAGTAGTATTTATCGTTCTACAGCTTGTCACTGACCATACACAATAGTCAGTCACCGACTATAGTCACTGACCATATACAATGGCTAGTCACAGACTATATTCACTGACCATATACAATAGCCAGTCACCGACTATATTCACTGACCATATACAATAGTCAGTCACCGACTATAGTCACTGACCATATACAATAGCTAGTCACAGACTATAGTCAATGACCATATACAATAGCCAGTCACAGACTATAGTCACTGACCATATACAATAGCCAGTCACAGACTATAGTCACTGACCATATACAATAGCCAGTCACAGACTATAGTCACTGACCATATACAATAGTTAGTCACCGACTATATTCACTGACCAAATACAATAGCCAGTCACAGACTATAGTCAATGACCATATACAATAGCCAGTCACCGACTATATTCACTGACCAAATACAATAGCTAGTCACAGACTATAGTCAATGACCAAATACAATAGCCAGTCACAGACTATAGTCAATGACCATATACAATAGCCAGTCACAGACTATATTCACTGACCATATACAATAGCCAATCACCGACTATAGTCACTGACCATATACAATAGCCAATCACCGACTATATTCACTGACCATATACAATAGCCAGTCACCGACTATAGTCACTGACCATATACAATAGCCAGTCACCGACTATAGTCACTGACCATATACAATAGCCAGTCACAGACTATAGTCAATGACCATATACAATAGCCAGTCACAGACTATAGTCACTGACCATATACAATAGCTAGTCACAGGCTATAGTCACTGACCATATACAATAGCCAGTCACAGACTATAGTCACTGACCATATACAATAGCCAGTCACAGACTATAGTCACTGACCATATACAATAGCCAGTCACCGACTATAGTCACTGACCATATACAATAGTTAGTCACCGACTATAGTCACTGACCAAATACAATAGCCAGTCACAGACTATAGTCACTGACCATATACAATAGCCAGTCACAGACTATAGTCACTGACCATATAAATAGCCAGTCACAGACTATAGTCACTGACCATATACAATAGCCAGTCACAGACTATAGTCACTGACCATATACAATAGCCAGTCACCGACTAAGTTCACTGACCATATAAATAGCCACTCTACTGCACCCAACAATGCAAGACCGAGTTACTTACCTCTATAGCCTTATTGGATGACCAAACCACATTCAACACTGATTGATGTTTCTGACAACAGCATCGCTGTCGCCAACCACCCGTAAATGACCAAGCCTATCAGCCTCTTCCAAGTACTATGCTATGTTACGGTATCATTGATGGATCAAGGCAAGGTTATTGTCATACCTAACTTTACACGTCAAAATATTTAAGTTGGAGGTTTTGTTAGTTATATTCGATGTTGACAATTTTGCTTCAACACTGGTCTGTCCGTGCCGCTTTCCATATTCAGCATTCATACCTCGAGTCCACCATCAAGTCAGTGCTGTGTTTTAATTGTGTATATTACATACTAATGCGTGTTGGTGAATGAACAATATGATAGTGGTCGCTTCCATGATGGGTAGCGTCCGATTGAGGTCGCTTACATCGATGGGTTGCGCTCGTTACGGGTCGCTTACCACGATAGGTAGTGTCTGATAGAGGTTGCTTCCCTTTGTATACATTCTCTGATAGATGTCGCTTACCACGATAGGTAGTGTCTGATAGATGTCGCTTACCACGATAGGCAGTGTTTGATAGAGGTTGCTTCCCTTTGTATACATTCTCTGATAGATGTCGCTTACCACGACAGGCAGTGTTTGATAGAGGTTGCTTCCCTTTGTATACATTCTCGGATAGATGTCGCTTACCACGATAGGTAGTGTCTGATAGAGGTTGCTTCCCTTTGTATACATTCTTTGATAGATGTCGCTTACCACGATAGGTAGTGTCTGATAGATGTCGCTTACCACGATAGGCAGTGTTTGATAGAGGTTGCTTCCCTTTGTATACATTCTCTGATAGATGTCGCTTACCACGATAGGTAGTGTCTGATAGATGTCGCTTACCACGATAGGTAGTGTCTGATAGAGGTTGCTTCCCTTTGTATACATTCTCTGATAGATGTCGCTTACCACGATAGGTAGTGTCTGATAGAGGTCGCTTACCACGATAGGTAGTGTCTGATAAAGGTCGCTTACCACGATAGGTAGTGTCTGATAGAGGTTGCTTACCACGATAGGTAGTGTCTGATAGAGGTTGCTTACCACGATAGGTAGTGTTTGATAGATGTCGCTTACCACGATAGGTAGTGTCTGATAGAGGTCGCTTACCACGATAGGTAGTGTCTGATAGAGGTCGCTTACCACGATAGATAGTGTCTGATAGATGTCGCTTACCACGATAGGTAGTGTCTGATAGAGCTTGCTTCCCTTTGTATATATTCTCTGATAGATGTCGCTTACCACGATAGGTAGTGTCTGATAGAGGTTGCTTACCACGATAGGTAGTGTCTGATAGATGTCGCTTACCACGATAGATAGTGTCTGATAGAGGTTGCTTACCACGATATGTAGTGTCTGATAGAGGTTCCTTCCCTTTGTATATATTCTCTGATAGATGTCGCTTACCACGATAGGTAGTGTCTGATAGAAGTCGCTTACCACGATAGGTAGTGTCTGATAGATGTCGCTTACCACGATAGATAGTGTCTGATAGATGTCGCTTACCACGATAGGTAGTGTCTGATAGATGTCGCTTACCACGATAGGTAGTGTCTGATAGAGGTTGCTTCCCTTTGTATACATTCTCTGATAGATGTCGCTTACCACGATAGGTAGTGTGTGATAGATGTCGCTTACCACGATAGGTAGTGTTTGATAGAGGTTGCTTCCCTTTGTTTACATTCTCTGATAGATGTCGCTTACCACGATAGGTAGTGTCTGATAGATGTCGCTTACCACGATAGATAGTGTCTGATAGAGGTTGCTTACCACGATAGGCAGTGTTTGATAGATGTCGCTTACCTCGATAGGTCGTGTCTGATAGAGGTTGCTTACCACGATAGGTAGTGTCTGATAGATGTCGCTTACCACGATAGATAGTGTCTGATAGAGGTTGCTTACCACGATTGGCAGTGTTTGATAGATGTCGCTTACCTCGATAGGTCGTGTCTGATAGAGGTTGCTTACCACGATAGGTAGTGACTGATAGATGTCGCTTACCACGATAGATAGTGTCTGATTGAGGTTGCTTACCACGATAGGTAGTGTCTGATAGATGTCGCTTACCACGATAGATAGTGTCTGATAGATGTCGCTTACCACGATAGGTAGTGTCTGATAGATGTCGCTTACCACGATAGGTAGTGTCTGATAGATGTTGCTTCCCTTTGTATACATTCTCTGATAGATGTCGCTTACCACGATAGGTAGTGTCTGATAGATGTCGCTTACCACGATAGGTAGTGTCTGATAGAGGTTCCTTCCCTTTGTATATATTCTCTGATAGATGTCGCTTACCACGATAGGTAGTGTGTGATAGATGTCGCTTCCATTTGTATACATTCTCTGATGGATGTCGCTTACCACGATAGGTAGTGTCTGATAGATGTCGCTTACCACGATAGGTCGTGTGTGATAGAGGTTGCTTCCCTTTGTATACATTCTCTGATAGATGTCGCTTACCACGATAGGTAGTGTCTGATAGATGTCGCTTACCACAATAGGTAGTGTCTGATAGAGGTTGCTTCCCTTTGTAAACATTCTCCGATAGATGTCGCTTACGTTCGATAGATAGCGTTTATTTGAGGTTGTTAACTTTTCATATTCCCCACAGTATGAGTATCTTTCAATCGATCCCTATCTATGTTAAAATGCTTCATTTTGGATTGGTATCGCCCCTGGAATTCTATAAATTAGAAAGAAAACGTGTCTTTTAATAATAACAAACTTTATTTATTTTACAACAATTGCGAAGCAAGTTTTTCCAACTTATATAAATCACTCTTGTTGGCTCGGATGGAAGCGCGCGAGGGTTCTTAGTGTGTGAGGAAACCGGAGTACCCGGGGAAAACCCACGTGGTCGGGCAGGTGACCCCATACCTTTTCCCATCCATTCCGGGAATCGAACCCAGGACGGCTAGGTAAAAGGCGAGTGCGTTACCACTGCCTACTTGTAACACATAGTTTTATCACAGCTTTAGCACAATTTCAATCAAAGTTGATATCTAATATATCAAAACAAATTTAATGCTATGAATGAAATTAGTCGTTATAGATACCAATTTATTGCCTAATTTTACTGAAAAACTTAAATAATACAAAACGTATTTTCCGTTTTCAGGTCAGCCAGGACAAAAAGGTGAGTCTTGTTAAACAGACTGCGATTCATTGTTACTATCTTAAAACCAGAGAGAGGTAGTGGATATTTTCATATAGTGCTTTTACTTCTGGATCCATAAAAACATGTCCTGTGAAAAAGGAAGCGAGCATCAGACCAATTCTATTACTATTGAATTAAAAGTCATTTTATGAACCATATTATTTGAATTTATTTTTTTTTTACAAAATTGCGATCTTTTACCTTCGCACTTTAATGTGTGTGTTATTGTTCACATCGTCCTCCTTCTGGAACGTAACATTACTTTATCCGAGTAACCTTCCAGAACAACCAGCTTTGTTTGTTTGTTTGTTTGTTTGTTTGTTTTCCTCTTTGTCCTTTTTTCAATAGTCTCCATGCGTATCTGTCTTCTGTCCACACTTTGCCTTAATTTCATTGAATTCGTGTGTATGACTATAATTCTGTTGACAAGTGTTTGATGTAAATTGGTCAATAATACAAGCTTATAAAATTAGACATCGTAAAGTTGAAGTTATATCAAACGATGTGTTCTAAAAATTAGAAAAATAAAACTGAGATAAGTCAGGTTTCTTCTGATATGGACGGACGAGTGGACGTACGAACAGAAGAAGGGAATCGACTCACGGTATGCAGACGATGAATTGTCTAATTTCTGATCTTCAGACTATGATTTAACAGGTTTTAATTGCCCATGGTAAGCTGTAATTTCTTTCCTCCTGTGCAGGAGATCGCGGTCTTGATGGATTTCCCGGAATTAAGGGTGAACAAGGACATTATGGAATTTCCGGTCCTGTTGGTCCACGGGGTGATGACGGCCCACAGGGACCAAGGGGGCTAAAGGGAGAACCCGGCACAATGCTGCAAGGCATGACGGGACCGAAAGGCGACAAGGGTACCATATAATTTTTTTTCAGATTTCTGTGAACAAATTTTCTTTTTTTTTCAAATTTTCTAAAATTTGACTTCCCAGTTTTTCCTTAAATAATCTCCTTGTCACGTGATTTTCAGATGTAAGAATTTGATTAGATTTCAATTTCTCACTCAGACATACATAATATGATACAAGATGTCAACATTAATAGTAATTCTGCACATGGCGGACTCTCGAAACAATTAAATACGTGCATCTATATATTTTTTTTCAAGTTCTTTCCAGAAATTTGCTTATATTAGATAAAAGCTTGGCCTTACAAAGTGAGAATAATTAATGCATTTTTTCTAAGACCAAGATTCACACAGTAATAATTTGGAATGAACATATCTCTAATTCTTATGATCGATGCATTTTCACATTCATATTAATAATAAGATTCCTCACCATTATTATTACTACAACATTGATTACAAGTTCTGTTTTCCTTAGGTATTCCATCTGCCAGATTCCACGGGCAGATTTGTATTTGACGTTCTAAATTTAACAATAATATGTCTTTCTTTTGGTTTTAGTTTGGAAAAGTATTTTTCCATCTCGAAAATTGACTTCATTTTAGAATATGTATTTCCACGTGGGGAATTTTCAATATCATTAAACCATTTTTTAATAAACTGATCTTGTAATCTTAGCTTTGCAACGAGTTTGATATAATCTTAAATGTACATTTTTTTGGATAATCCCAGAGTAAATCTACACAGGTTTCTATCAATGTTTTGCGTACGTTATTTAACCAGTTGAATTCCATATTACTATTTACCTGTAAATTGTACATCAAAATGGTACTAATACTGAACAAATTATTACATGTTATCAACCTATATGATTATACAATTATTCTATTTTTACGTCAACAGACAAAGGAAATCTGCCAATCTCTACTTAGATCATAAAATTTGGCGTGCTTTTTCTACCATCTAAAATTCGTTTACAAAATTGCAAATGGAGTTTCTCTGTAGAGTTTAAGATTTCAAAGCTCCACACCTCTACTGCATTAAGAAGTATAGGTACAACTGGTGAATCAATATCTTTAATTGAAGGTGAACTGGTGATAGAATATTTCTGATTTTCTTATAAACTGCAAACATGGCCTTTTTAGACTGTTCCGTGTTCAAGCTTTAAAATAATTTTCGTTATAACTTACTAAAACCTCACGACAGGAAAATGTCTCTTCATTGAAAACAGTGAAATTTAAATGCTTTCGACATTTTCTTTTAGAATTTTTTCATTGGTATCAACATCAAGTTTCCAGATTTTACAATATTCAAAAACATCCAGATCAGACCACAACCCTTCGGCTAAGCCGTCCGTTTGCAAGTCGTTACGGGAAAGCTGGACATGTGTAAATATTCGAGAGAATTAACAGCTGTTGGTAATATATTTACCGATAAAGTTTGTGTAGCTTTTTTAAGCGTTGAAAATACTCAATTGCATGTTTAAGATGAATGGATTAAAATACTTTTTATTTCAACAGGTGATAGGGGAGAAGTAGGACCTCCAGGACCAAAGGGCACAGCTTCTGTGACGTCACCGGTCGACTCCAATAAGTGCTGCGACAATCTGTGTATTTTTTTTCTGTCCCCTTTCGATTCTTGAACACCATACTAATTAGAGTTTTCATACTTGAGGTTATGAATGGAATATCGATATAAATGCCGTCCCATTGTATCACCACCACGTCCCATTGTATCACCACCACGTCCCATTGTATCACCACCACGTCCCATTGTATCACCACCACGTCCCATTGTACCACCACTACGTCCCATTGTATCACCACCACGTCCCATTGTATCACCACCACGTCCCATTGTATCACCACCACGTCCCATTGTATCACCACTACGTCCCATTGTACCACCACCACGTCCCATTGTACCACCACCACGTCCCATTGTATCACCACCACGTCCCTTTGTATCACCACCACGTCCCATTGTATCACCACTACGTCCCATTGTACCACTACCACGTCCCATTGTACCACCACCACGTCCCATTGTATCACCACCACGTCCCATTGTACCATTACCACGTCCCATTGTACCACCACCACGTCCCATCGTATCACCACGTCCCATCGTACCACCACCACGTCCCATTGTATCACCACCACGTCCCATTGTATCACCACCACGTCCCATTGTATCACCACCACGTCCCATTGTACCACCACCACGTGCCATTGTATCACCACTACCACGTCCCATTGTACCACTACCACGTCCCATTGTACCACCACCACGTCCCATTGTATCACCACCACGTCCCATTGTATCACCACCACGTCCCATTGTACCACCACCACGTCCCATTGTATCACCACCACGTCCCATCGTACCACCACCACGTCCCATCGTACCACCACCACGTCCCATTGTATCACTACCACGTCCCATTGTACCACCACCACGTCCCTTTGTATCACCACCACGTCCCATTGTATCACCACCACGTCCCATTATACCACCACCACGTCCCATTGTATCACCACCACGTCCCATTGTATCACCACCACGTCCCATTGTACCACCACCACGTCCCATCGTATCACCATGTCCCATCGTACCACCACCACGTCCCATTGTATCACCACCACGTCCCATTGTATCACCACCACGTCATATTGTACCACCACCACATCCCATTGTACCACCACCACGTCCCATTGTACCACCACCACGTCCCATCGTATTACTACGTCCTATCGTACCACCACCACGTCCCATTGTACCACAACCACGTCCCATTGTACCATCACCACGTCCCATTGTATCACCACCACGTCCCATTGTACCACCACCTCGTCCCATTGTAGCACCACCACGTCCCATTGTATCACCACCACGTCCCATTGTACCACCACCTCGTCCCATTGTAGCACCACCACGTCCCATTGTATCACCACCACGTCCCATTGTATCACCACCACGTCCCATTGTATCACCACGTCCCATTGTATTACTACGTCGTCCCATTGTATCACCACGTCGCCCATTGTATCGACACGTCGTCCCACTGTATCATCACCTCGCCCCATTGTACCACCACATCGCCCCATTGTACCACCACATCGTACCACCACATCGCCCCATTGTACCACCACATCGCCCCATTGTATCACCACGTCGCCCATTGTATCGACACGTCGTGCCACTGTATCATCACATCGCCCCATTGTACCACCACATCGCCCCATTGTACCACCACATCGCCCCATTGTACCACCTCATCGTACCATTGTACCACCACATCGTACCACCACATCGCCGCATTGTACCACCACATCGCCCCATTGTACCACCACATCGCCCCGTTGTATAACCAAGTCGTCAAATTGTATTACCATGTCATCGCAATAACAATTCAAGACGTCACGAAATGACGTCAAGTTAGGTCTTCCATTTACATAAAATTTAAGCTGCTTAATTTATTTTGATGTTTTCAGCTGCCCCTCAGTTTGTCCGTCCACAGACTGCAGTGATTACTGCGCCTTACGGTACATCGATTGTCTTGCCCTGTCGTGCCGTCGGATCCCCACATGCGGACATTGTGTGGCAGCCTCCGGTCGACCCATTGTCCTTGGGGAGGTACATCCAGGAGTACGAAGGCATGGAGATCTTGAACGTAAAATATTCTGACTCAATGACGTTTCAATGTCGAGCCCATAACATATTCGGTACGGTTGAGAAATACATCAAGCTCATTGTCACTGGTGAGTATACCGACAAACCTGGGTTTTTAGGGGGATCTTCTGTGTGCTATTTCCAAACTGAAATAGTGACAAAAACATACATTCGCAAAAGAAATTCATGAAAACTATCACTATCAATTGCTTTAAAACTTTGTTAACATAACAAAATATTTCACCTGCGAAACGCAACAAAATAATGTAAAGAAAAATAACAGAGTTGACAGTAACTAACAATGAAGTAACGAAATAACAGAGTTGACAGTAACTAACAATGAAGTAACGAAATAACGGAGTTGACAGTAACCAACAATGAAGTAACGAAATAACGGAGTTGACAGTAACCAACAATGAAGTAACGAAATAACGGAGTTGACAGTAACTAACAATGAAGTAAAGAAATAACGGAGTTGACAGTAACTAACAATGAAGTAACGAAATAACGGAGTTGACAGTAACCAACAATGAAGTAACGAAATAACGGAGTTGACAGTAACTAACAATGAAGTAACGAAATAACGGAGTTGACAGTAACCAACAATGAAGTAACGAAATAACAGAGTTGACAGTAACTAACAATGAAGTAACGAAATAACGGAGTTGACAGTAACTAACAATGAAGTAACGAAATAACGGAGTTGACAGTAACTAACAATGAAGTAACGAAATAACGGAGTTGACAGTAACTAACAATGAAGTAACGAAATAACGGAGTTGACAGTAACCAACAATGAAGTAACGAAATAACGGAGTTGACAGTAACTAACAATGAAGTAACGAAATAACGGAGTTGACAGTAACTAACAATGAAGTAACGAAATAACGGAGTTGACAGTAACTAACAATGAAGTAACGAAATAACGGAGTTGACAGTAACTAACAATGAAGTAAAGAAATAACGGAGTTGACAGTAACTAACAATGAAGTAAAGAAATAACGGAGTTGACAGTAACTAACAATGAAGTAACGAAATAACGGAGTTGACAGTAACTAACAATGAAGTAACGAAATAACGGAGTTGACAGTAACTAACAATGAAGTAACGAAATAACGGAGTTGACAGTAACTAACAATGAAGTAACGAAATAACGGAGTTGACAGTAACTAACAATGAAGTAAAGAAATAACGGAGTTGACAGTAACTAACAATGAAGTAAAGAAATAACGGAGTTGACAGTAACTAACAATGAAGTAAAGAAATAACGGAGTTGACAGTAACTAACAATGAAGTAACGAAATAACGGAGTTGACAGTAACTAACAATGAAGTAACGAAATAACGGAGTTGACAGTAACTAACAATGAAGTAACGAAATAACGGAGTTGACAGTAACTAACAATGAAGTAACGAAATAACGGAGTTGACAGTAACTAACAATGAAGTAAAGAAATAACGGAGTTGACAGTAACTAACAATGAAGTAACGAAATAACGGAGTTGACAGTAACTAACAATGAAGTAAAGAAATAACGGAGTTGACAGTAACTAACAATGAAGTAACGAAATAACGGAGTTGACAGTAACTAACAATGAAGTAACGAAATAACAGAGTTGACAGTAACTAACAATGAAGTAACGAAATAACAGAGTTGACAGTAACTAACAATGAAGTAACGAAATAACGGAGTTGACAGAAGCCAACAATGAAGTAACGAAATAACAGAGTTGACAGTAACTAACAATGAAGTAACGAAATAACGGAGTTGACAGTAACCAACAATGAAGTAACGAAATAACAGAGTTGACAGTAACTAACAATGAAGTAACGAAATAACGGAGTTGACAGTAACCAACAATGAAGTAACGAAATAACGGAGTTGACAGTAACTAACAATGAAGTAACGAAATAACGGAGTTGACAGTAGCTAACAATGAAGTAACGAAATAACAGAGTTGACAGTAACTAACAATGAAGTAACGAAATAACGGAGTTGACAGTAACTAACAATGAAGTAACGAAATAACGGAGTTGACAGTAACTAACAATGAAGTAACGAAATAACGGAGTTGACAGTAGCTAACAATGAAGTAACGAAATAACGGAGTTGACAGTAACTAACAATGAAGTAACGAAATAACGGAGTTGACAGTAACTAACAATGAAGTAACGAAATAACAGAGTTGACAGTAACTAACAATGAAGTAAAGAAATAACAGAGTTGACAGTAACTAACAATGAAGTAACGAAATAACGGAGTTGACAGTAACTAACAATGAAGTAACGAAATAACGGAGTTGACAGTAACTAACAATGAAGTAACGAAATAACGGAGTTGACAGTAACTAACAATGAAGTAAAGAAATAACGGAGTTGACAGTAACTAACAATGAAGTAACGAAATAACGGAGTTGACAGTAACTAACAATGAAGTAAAGAAATAACAGAGTTGACAGTAACTAACAATGAAGTAAAAAAATAACAGAGTTGACAGTAACTAACAATGAAGTAACGAAATAACGGAGTTGACAGTAACTAACAATGAAGTAACGAAATAACGGAGTTGACAGTAACTAACAATGAAGTAACGAAATAACGGAGATGACAGTAACTAACAATGAAGTAACGAAATAACGGAGTTGACAGTAACTAACAATGAAGTAACGAAATAACAGAGTTGACAGTAACTAACAATGAAGTAACGAAATAACGGAGTTGACAGTAATTGCAAATTTTACTTTTGTTATTTAATTCACCATCGTGTCAAATGGTATATAGATTATAAAAGTAGAGTATAAAATTTTCCCAAACTGATCCCTAATTCCCAAACATAATCTCCAGATACCCGTCAATATTAACAATACATTTGTATATACTTATGTTCGAAATGAGCTCTCCTAAACTCCAAATTATTACAGGAAAATGTCCTTGTGAAATAAATGTCTTTTAAATCGATTATTTATAAGAAATAAATGCACCCCATGATCGCTTTTTTTAGATAGATTATGTTTGGAAATCGCTTTGATATTCACATATAATCTTGAACGGAGACACCGAGACGACAAGCAGATAAAAAAAGTGTTTATTATTGGGAGAATACGAGTAATGGAAAAAATATTTTTAAAAAAAGTTCTTTACCTTTCTTGTACAGATACGGTTTAAAAAGTTTTACTGGTAAGACCTATGACTCAAGTGTATCGTTACAGTATTCCGTATAATTAAGGATTTTCTTTATTTTTCTTTGTTTATGAGGTAATAGGTCCAGAAGAGCACGTGGTAAATTGCATATACGCGAAGTGTTCAGCGATATCATATCAGAACATAGTAGTCGTTCGCCAAGAGTTACGTCCCCTTCACATCTCCGTCGTAACAGGCTTCCCATTAGAAAGATACGACATTTGGCATGTTTTTATTAAAGTTAAGGTACAAATGGTTGTTGCTACATCTATTACATTTCGTGACAACGACACAAGGATGTTTTATGCATGCTCCAGTAGTTATAATGAAAAGTAATCAAAGGAAACATCCGTAAAATTACTCGAGTTCATCTTGCAGCTTGCTGCTATTACAACGTGAAACACCATGGCGGACGAACGGGTTTCCCCCAAGTTCAATATAGGTTGCTATAAATATTTATCCAATAAGCTATTACGCTCGATATGACGCATTAGGGATTTAATCCCATCTGTCAAATGAAATTGGTCAACAGAAAATCTATTTTAAGCCCGTAATTACCGGCATGACGATGCAGTGTTGATGCAAATAGACGCCTTCAGAAATAGTTCCGGGCCAAGGAAAAACGGACCAATGACAACAAAATTGAAACAGTAACTTTATTAACAACAATAAATTGACATTCCTTGTCAAATAAAGCATATATCAATACTATATATACATATATCCATTATCAAAAGCCATCACTCCACAACTATTTTTTTATTTAAAACGAAGTCAGAAACACTTGCATATTTATATGTAGCCACAATGGCTTGTCTAGATAATTAAGATAATAAAAATAATTTCGAAAAGTCCCTGTGATTTTGCTACTTCTGGTTATTAATTTTGTAAATATGCTTTTTTTCTCACATGATGCACAAAATATTGCCCCATTAGGATATTCTGACAAGGTGAAGTTAACGACGCCATCAAAAGACCATGGCTGCAATAGTAATAATGGTATTGACTTATCTGCAAATAAATTGGCAACCATACAACTTAATGCTAGAATCACTGTAATTCCTCCACCAGTATGAGTGATTTACATTATTCTGATAGTGTAACAAACAAACTCTGTCCCGTCAGTTTATCCTAATAGCGATCTATGAAGGTATAATGGAATGCTGACAATATTTATATATTGAACAATCATTTTAATTTGTCACACGAAAAAAAAAACAAGAGCCTGTTTCAGGTCACGAAATACGCCTGTGATTTTGTCTGACTATCACCTACACTATTTATGCTGTATATAATATATTGCATTTGTTTCAATGGTAATTGCGTAATACTTTGCAAAGTTATTGCACCGACATTGAAAAGGTTACAGACATTAATGGGCCGTAACTCTAAAAGTTGTGGATCAAAAATCATGGAAATCAAACTCAATCTAGCTTTGATTGTACTTAAGCTTGCAATGAAAGTTAAAAGAAATCTGTTAAGGCTTAATAAATTCCAAAATCGCTGGGACATTGAAATGTTTACGAACAGAGGGACATACGGACGGAAGATGGACGGATGGAAGACGAGAATACCATAATATGTCCTGTCATTTGACGGATGTATAAAATACATAAATATCAAACAAAAAAAAGAAGTAAATAAATGTAAAGATCATAAATCTAAAATAATAAGCAAAATCACTTGAGGTACGCATATTGTGCATAATAATACATTGAAAAATTAATTTAAGATTAGAAACAAGAGGCCCATGGGCCTTATCGGTCACCTTAGAATCAATCACTTCACAAGCAATGGTAAGAACTGACAGTATTTCTGATATTGATTTACATTTATTATTAACAGCTAATAGTTGTCTGCTGTTTAAAGAATTATAAAAAAAATCATCACATGTTTTGTTTTTTATTTGTCTATTTCATTATATCTAGGAACATTTATCTTATAGTGATATAGTGAGAGCTGTCAGTTGCTCACTTATTATGAGTCCATACTAGTTTATGGAGAAATTACTGAAATTAGCATGTCTATGTGTGCTTGATGATGAAGATAATGATGTTGACTGTGTCTAAGAATCTGCAGCATCCTTATGCATGGAAGTTAAAGTGTGTGAAGAAGCTGATAATGAGGATGTGTGATGCTGCTGTGTGATGCTGCTGATGTTGGTATATATGATGATGTTGAGGTGTGACGATGCTGATTTGGTATGTGATAATGCGGATGTGTAATGCTGCTGAAGTGTGATGATGCTAATGTTGATAGGTGACCATAATGATGCTGATGGTATGTAATGATGCTAATGTGTGACGAGGATGATGATTGTATATGATGACGTTGATGTCAGATGCTAATGTTGTTTGTATATGTAACAATGCTGGAGTGCTAGTATGGCTGCAAGTTATAAATAAATGTTTAGAGTGATTGTGTTACATAGTGTCTATGATAGTTAAGATATAGTGTGCAACTCAAAATGCTGTGTGTTTAGTGGTGAAAATGATGCATGACTATACTCTGTAAGTGTGTGACGATGGGAGTTATAGACTGATAGTATATATGAATCTATTTATTCCTCATGTGTTTTTCGATAAATAAAAAATAAACAAATATATATAAATAAATAAAAATAAAATTGATATTATCCCTGTTAATAATTAACATTTAATATTACTTTTGCTAAATGATTCTCTTGGCATGTTTAAATGGGTTAAAATTTCCCTTGCACCGGTTGCAGTGCGCTTCCATAAAATTCTATAACGATACTACGCGATCTCTAAAAACTACAGCTCAAGCACCATTTCATCAATTAAATAATATTAATATAATACAAAAAGAACTATTACTTACGCATAAGAACTCACCACAGTTCCCCTGTAAGCAATTTCTTTCCGTGAGGTGCGCATAATACCCGCCATGCTTACATAAAAATAAAATCAAGTAGGAAAGCTCCGTGCGGGGAGGTAACTCTGCACGAACGTCAAAAATATTCTGATATGTTATTTCATTTCATTAAATCAAATTATTTGTATGGTGTTTGAGATCTTTTAAAAAACCAACATTTTATAAAAAAAGTTAACCACCGTTTATTTAAAAGTCTCGTTTGGTCGATGCTAGCAACACGTGGTGTTTGTTTGTAAACATGAATGGGCCGCAACCTTTGACTCGTGTGTAAATGTATTCCTACGCCAATATTGTTACGTCATCGTCTAGCACGTTCTGGACTAAAGTTATTGGAGTATAAACACAGTCGATATTCTTATGTTTTATTAGTGGGAAAATACAGCAATTGTAAATAATCTAAAGTCAGCTTGCTTTTCATCAGCTTGATCAGTCTTTGAGAAAAAAAATAGTTTATATATTCTACGTATTTTACACTACAGATTATCAATCAAACAGAATATATACGAAATTGCTTACCTTGTGCTTGATGGCTTTCAGACGTACCAGCACCTTGGTTAAATACACTGCCATGTTTGATAATATTTTCACTGTCTTGTATTGGTTGTATCGAAAAGAAAAAAGAGCTTTTAAACACCATATCAAGGTTTATATTAAAGAGAGTTTTTACAAGTAAATACAGTATGTTTATAAGGTAAATAAACCCTTGTTTTAAGTGTCGTTATTATATATTTTATTAGGAAAGAAGAACACAAGTTTAATATCTGCTACTTTTTGGTTCTCCTTTCTAGTTCTACTTTAAAAGTGACATAATGTCTATATTTATTGCATGTACATCAGTGTTTAAGCACCTGACCATTGGTAAAAAAAAACAAATTACTTCTATTTCACAGACAAAGTGACAGCTTTGGTTTCACCATCTCAGCCATCAGTCATTGGCGGGCCAACTACAAACATCGATATCGTCTGCTCATGGACGGGAACACCGCCGCCAAATGTAACATGGAGTCATATACTTCCCGGTGGAAAAACAATTCCTGTAACGGCAGGGACCACCCTGTCAGCAAATACAAACACAAGCACCCTGCATGTGACGGGGGCTGGAGCGCTGGACTCCGGGCTTTACCAGTGTACTGTCACTAATGGACTAGAAACGCAGACCAGTACAGCCAACTTGACCGTCCAATGTAGGTATATTGACCGTCCTATGTAGGTATATTGACCGTCTTATGTAGGTTTATTTACCGTCCTATGTAGGTATATTGACCGTCCTATGTAGGTGTATTGACAGTCCTATTTAGGTGTATTGACCGTCCTATATAGGTATATTGACCGTCCTATGTAGGTATATTGACCGTCCTATGTAGGTATACTGACCGTCCTATGTAGGTGAATTGACAGTCCTATGTAGGTATATTGACCATCCTATGTAGGTATATTGACCGCACAATGTGGCTATATTGACCGTCCTATGTAGGTATATTGACCGTCCTAAGTGGGTGTATTGACCGTCCTATGTGGGTGTATTGACCGTCCTATGTGGGTATATTGACCGTCCTATGTAAGTATATTGACTGTCCTATGTAGGTATATTGACCGTCGTATGTAGGTGTATTGACCGTCCTATGTAGGTATATTGACAGTCCTATGTAGGTATATTGACCGTCCTATGTAGGTATATTGACCGTCGTATATTGACCGTCCTATGTAGGTATATTGACCGTCACATGAAGGTATATTGACCGTCCAGTGTAGGTATATTGATAGCACAATGTAACTATATTGACCGTCCTATGTAGGTATATTGACCGCACAATGTAGCTATATTGACCGTCCTATGTAGGTATATTGACCGTCACATAAAGGTATATTGACCGTCCTATGTAGGTATATTGACTATCCTATGTAGGTATATTGACCACACAATGTAGCTATATTGACCGTCCTATGTAGGTATATTGACCGTCCTAAGTGGGTGTATTGACCGTCCTATGTGGGTGTATTGACCGTCCTATGTGGGTATATTGACCGTCCTATGTAAGTATATTGACTGTCCTATGTAGGTATATTGACCGTCGTATGTAGGTGTATTGACCGTCTTATGTAGGTATATTGACAGTCCTATGTAGGTATATTGACCGTCCTATGTAGGTATATTGACCGTCGTATATTGACCGTCCTATGTAGGTATATTGACCGTCACATGAAGGTATATTGACCGTCCAGTGTAGGTATATTGATAGCACAATGTAACTATATTGACCGTCCTATGTAGGTATATTGACCGCACAATGTAGCTATATTGACCGTCCTATGTAGGTATATTGACCGTCACATAAAGGTATATTGACCGTCCTATGTAGGTATATTGACTATCCTATGTAGGTATATTGACCACACAATGTAGCTATATTGACCGTCTTATGTAGGTATATTGACCGTCATATGTAGCTATATTGATCGTCCTATGTAGCTATATTGACCGTCCTATGTGGGTATATTGACCGTCCTATGTAGGTATATTAACAGTCCTATGAAGGTATATTGAGCGTCCTATGTAGGTATATTAACCGTCCTATGTAGGTGTATTGACCGTCCTATGTAGGTATATTAACCGTCTTATGTAGGTATATTGACCGTCCTATGTAGGTATATTGACCGTCCTATGTAGGTATATTGACCGTCTTATGTAGGTGTATTGACCCTCCTATGTAGGTATATTGACCGTCCTATATAGCTATATTGACCGTCCTATGTAGGTATATTGACCGTCCTATGTAGGTATATTGACCGCACAATGTAGCTATATTGACCGTCCTATGTAGGTATATTGACCGCACAATGTAGCTATATTGACCGTCCTATGTAGGTGTATTGACCGTCCTATGTAGGTATATTGACCGTCCTATGTAGGTATATTGACCGTCCTATGTAGCTATATTGACCATCCTATGTAGGTATATTGACCGCACAATGTGGCTATATTGACCGTCCTATGTAGGTATATTGACCGTCCTAAGTGGGTGTATTGACCGTCCTATGTGGGTGTATTGACCGTCCTATGTGGGTATATTGACCGTCCTATGTAAGTATATTGACTGTCCTATGTAGGTATATTGACCGTCGTATGTAGGTGTATTGACCGTCCTATGTAGGTATATTGACAGTCCTATGTAGGTATATTGACCGTCCTATGTAGGTATATTGACCGTCGTATATTGACCGTCCTATGTAGGTATATTGACCGTCACATGAAGGTATATTGACCGTCCAGTGTAGGTATATTGATAGCTAAATGTAACTATATTGACCGTCCTATGTAGGTATATTGACCGCACAATGTAGCTATATTGACCGTCCTATGTAGGTATATTGACCGTCACATAAAGGTATATTGACCGTCCTATGTAGGTATATTGACCATCCTATGTAGGTATATTGACCACACAATGTAGCTATATTGACCGTCTTATGTAGGTATATTGACCGTCATATGTAGCTATATTGATCGTCCTATGTAGCTATATTGACCGTCCTATGTGGGTATATTGACCGTCCTATGTAGGTATATTAACAGTCCTATGAAGGTATATTGACCGTCCTATGTAGGTATATTAACCGTCCTATGTAGGTGTATTGACCGTCCTATGTAGGTATATTAACCGTCTTATGTAGGTATATTGACCGTCCTATGTAGGTATATTGACCGTCCTATGTAGGTATATTGACCGTCTTATGTAGGTGTATTGACCCTCCTATGTAGGTATATTGACCGTCCTATATAGCTATATTGACCGTCCTATGTAGGTATATTGACCGTCCTATGTAGGTATATTGACCGCACAATGTAGCTATATTGACCGTCCTATGTAGGTATATTGACCGCACAATGTAGCTATATTGACCGTCCTATGTAGGTGTATTGACCGTCCTATGTAGGTATATTGACCGTCCTATGTAGCTATATTGACCATCCTGTGTAGATATATTGACCGTCCTATGTAGCTATATTGACCGTCTTATATAGGTATATTGACCGTCCTATGTATGTATAATGACCGTATTATATATGTATATTTACCGTCCATGTCAAAGTTGAATTTAAATCAAAAGTATTATCTGCATATAAAGTAAGTTCAGTCTGAAAGTGATTTCAACGAAATCAGGAATTTTAAGGTTTCATCAATATATTACTTGATACGTTGAACAATTTTCCTTGTGTTTCCTCAGCAAAGCCGGGAATACTTACAGGCCCACTTACCCAAACTGTGCAGGCTGGTCAAACTATCGTTCTCCGATGTGACGTCGTAGCCACGCCGCCAGCTAGTGTAGTATGGACCTACCCGCATGTAAGTTAATACTTCGAGGAAGCGTGCCATTGATAGGTTTAAAATTTCGAATTGTCATTTGTTAGTATATATCATTAACTGAATCTACTTACATACTTATTGATGTGTCCGCTGGTCGTTGTTTCAGTCTCGCAGACAAAGACGCCGTTGTATGTACAATGTACTTTGTAGGCATGCTTTATAGACAATATCACACTCGGTTCCCTGTAGCGCTAAATGCAGACGAAAACTACCCCTCAGCGTGGTGCTCTGTTACAAAAGCGACGGTATCAATGTTTCCCGGCAAACAGAAATTTGTCTTCGTTGAGGATTTTTGTTGCTGTCAGTGACGTCCTTGACCCCGTGCTTCAACACGGATTGGGCATGTCCATTTCTATTGTTTGTTTTTTCAGAGTGAGAGTTCAGCATCATAATGATGTTTTTTTTTTATTTTTTGCAGACGGGGACAGCCCCTCCTAAAGACGTACTTGTAAACCCAGACGGCTCTATCACCATTCAGAACATCAATGACTTCAATCAGGGCACCTACACTTGCTCAGCTACAAACGGTCTCGGGACCACGACCGCAACTGGACAGGTCAACGTTATATGTAAGTATATGTGTCAAAGGTCACCAACATAGAATCATAATGACATTCAAACGTACACCACTGCGTGAACATTACTTTATGGTATGTAATCAACTGAACAGATTCTGTACTCTAAAAAGTCGTAGTAGAGAAGTTTTTGTTTTATTTTCTGTATCTGACAAAAATAATTCGTAAAATTTTGAAACTAGATTTATCCCTGGTATCACTGATCATGATATCGCCATCTCACGCCCTCTCAGCTGAAGTCTCGTCTGTTCGTAGCTCCGGTAACGGTTAGCGTCACTCCAAATGAACTTCCTGTACACGCGGGAGATACTTTCACACAAATCACCTGTTCCGGAACAGGAGATCCAAATCCGACACTGACTTGGACCAACGAAAATGGTGTACCTGTGACGTCTAGCGGCGGGAAATTCCTGTTACTAGGCAACGGTGGTCTAATTATAACCAACGTCGATCCGGACAGTGATTCCGGAGTGTATATCTGTACCGGAAACAACGGCAAAGAGACAGCCACGGCGCAGACCATAGGCAAGTTCAAATTAGATCACGTGGGTAATGGTTACCAGGAGTTACTATTTTTGGTCATATAGTGAAGGCGGGATCAAGATAAAACACAAATTATATCACAACGCAGCAATGCTATGTAATCTGTCGATATCACTCTCGTTCTTTTTTATGTTGATTTTATATATTCCAATTAAGATAATATTGTGATATCTTGGAAATATTGCATGGTAGACGTTAATGAAAAAGTCCCATCTGAACGTCTTTGTATTTTTTCAGTGTATCACGACCTCGGAGCACTTAGCTGTACTACAACATTTGCTGACTGTTCAACAAATATAGGGAGAGCGTGTGGGTAAGTCTGACAGGGTAATCAACAAACACGGGGGAGGGGTAATTTGACAGGGAAATCTACAAACACGGGGGAGGGGATGTGGGTAAGTCTGACAGGATAATCAACAAACACGGGAGAGTGTGTGGGTAAAAATGACAGGGTAATCAACAAACACGGGAGGTGTAGGTAAATCTGACAGGGTAATCTACAAACACGGGAGAGTGTGTGGGTAAATCTGACAGGGTTATCTACAAACACGGGGGAGTGTGTGGGTAAATCTGACAGAGTTATCTACAAACAGGGGGTGTGTGGGTCAGTCTGACAGGCTAATTAACAAACAGGGGTGAGTGTGTGGGTAAGTCTGACAGGGTAATCAACAAACACGGGAGGTGTAGGTAAATCTGACAGGGTTATCTACAAACACGGTTTAGTGTGTGGGTAAATCTGACAGGGTAATCAACAAACAGAGGTGTGTGTGGGTCAGTCTGACAGGCTAATTAACAAACACGGGGGAGTGTGTGGGTAAGTCTGACAGGGTAATCACAAAAAACACGGGTGAGTGTGTGGGTAAGTCTGACAGGGTAATCAACAAACACGGGGGAGGGGATGTCGGGTAAATCTGACAGGGTAAACAACAAACACGGGGGAGTGTGTGGGTAAATCTGACAGGATAATCAACAAACACGGGGGAGTGTGTGGGTAAGTTTGACAGGGTAATCCACAAACACGGGGCAGTGTGTGGGTAAGTTTGACAGGGTAATAAAATAACACAGGTGAGTGTGTGGGTAAGTCTGACGGGGTAATCAACAAACAGGGGGTGTGTTGGTAAATCTGACAGTGTAATCAACAAACACGGCGGTGTGTGGGTAAATCTTACAGGGTAATCAACAAACACGGGGGAGTGTGTGGGTAAATTTTACAGGGTAATCAACAAACACGGGGGAGTGTGTGGGTAAATCTGACAGGGTAATCTACAAACACGGGGGAGTGTGTGGGTAAATCTGACAGGGGAGAGTGTGTGGGTAAATCTGACAGGGTAATCTACAAACACGGGGGAGTGTGTAACAAACACGGGGGAGTGTGTGGGTAAATCTGACAGGGGAATCTACAAACACGGGGGAGTGTGTGGGTAAATCTGACAGGGTAATCTACAAACACGGGGGAGTGTGTGGGTAAATCTGACAGGGGAATCTACAAACACGGGAGGGTGTGTGGGTAAATCTGACAGGATAATCAACAAACACGGGGGAGTGTATGGGTAAATCTGACAGGGGAATCTACAAACACGGGGGAGTGTGTGGGTAAATCTGAAAACACGGGGGAGTGTGTGGGTAAATCTGACAGGGTAATCTACAAACACGGGGGAGTGTGTGGGTAACAGGGTAATCTGTGTTGGTAAACACAGGGAATCAACAAACACGGGTGTGTGGGTAAATCTGACAGGGTAATCAACAAACACGGGGGAGTGTATGGGTAAATCTGACAGGGTAATCTACAAACACGGGGGAAATCTGACAGGGTAATCTACAAACACGGGGGAGTGTTTGGGTAAGTCTGACAGGGTAATCAACAAACACGGGGGAGTGTTTGGGTAAGTCTGACAGGGTAATCAACAAACACGGGGGAGTGTATGGGTAAATCTTACAGGGTAATCAACAAACACGGGGGAGTGTGTGGGTAAATCTGACAGGGGAATCTACAAACACGGGGGAGTGTGTGGGTAAATCCGACAGCGTAATCTACTACAACGGGGTGTGTGTGGGTAAATCTGACAGGGTAATCTAACAAACACGGGGGAGGTGTGGGTAAATCTGACAGGGTAATCTACAGTGTGTGGTAAATCTGACAGGGTAATCAACAAACACGGGGGAGTGTGTGGGTAAGTCTGACAGGGTAATCAACAAACACGGGGTGTGTGGGTAAATCTGACAGGGTAATCTACAAACACGGGGGAGGGTGTGGGTAAATCTGACAGGGTAATCAAAACACGACAGGGTAATCAACAAACACGTGTGTGTGGGTAAGTCTGACAGGGTAATCAACAAACACGGGGGAGTGTGTGGGTAAATCTGACAGGGTAATCTACAAACACGGGGGAGTGTGTGGGTAAGTCTGACAGGGTAATCAACAAACAGGAGGTGTGTTGGTAAATCTGACAGGGTAATCAACAAACACGGTAGGGTGTGTGGGTAAATCTGACAGGGTAAGCTACAAACACGGGGGAGTGTATGGGTAAATCTTACAGGGTAATCAACAAACACGGGGGAGTGTGTGGGTAAATCTGACAGGGTAATCTACAAACACGGGGGTGTGTGTGGGTAAGTCTGACAGGGTAATCAGCAAACACGGGGGAGTGTGTGGGTAAATCTGACAGGGTAATCTACAAACACGGGGGAGTGTGTGGGTAAGTCTGACAGGGTAATAAAATCTGACAGGGTAATCAACAAACACGGGGGTGTGTGGGTAAATCTGACAGGGTAATCAACAAACACGGGGGGTGTGTGGGTAAATCAACAAAAACACGGGGGTGTGTGGGTAAATCTGACAGGGTAATCTACAAACACGGGGGAGTGTGTGGGTAAATCTGACAGGGTAATCAACAAACACGGGGGAGTGTGGGTAAATAATCTGACAGGGTAATCAACAAACACGGGGGAGTGTGTGGGTAAATCTGTGTGTGTGGTAAATCTGACAGGGGAATCTACAAACACGGGAGGGTGTGTGGGTAAATCTGACAGGATAATCAACAAACACGGGGGAGTGTGTGGGTAAATCTGACAGGGTAATCTACAAACACGGGGGAGTGTGTGGGTAAATCTGACAGGGTAATCTACAAACACGGGGGAGTGTGTGGGTAAGTCTGACAGGGTAATCAACAAACAGGAGGTGTGCTGGTAAATCTGACAGGGGAATCAACAAACACGGGAGGGTGTGTGGGTAAATCTGACAGGGTAATCTACAAACACGGGGGAGTGTATGGGTAAATCTGACAGGGTAATCAACAAACACGGGGAGTGTATGGGTAAATCTGACAGGGTAATCTACAAACACGGGGGAGTGTTTGGGTAAATCTGACAGGGTAATCAACAAACACGGGAGGGTGTGTGGGTAAATCTGACAGGGTAATCTACAAACACGGGGGAGTGTTTGGGTAAATCTGACAGGGTTATCTACAAACACGGGGGAGTGTATGGGTAAATCTGACAGGGTAATCAACAAACACGGGGGAGTGTGTGGGTAAATCTGACAGGGGAATCTACAAACACGGGAGGGTGTGTGGGTAAATCTGACAGGATAATCAACAAACACGGGGGAGTGTGTGGGTAAATCTGACAGGGTAATCAACAAACACGGTAGGGTGTATGGGTAAATCTGACAGGGTAATCAACAAACACGGGGAGTGTATGGGTAAATCTGACAGGGTAATCTACAAACACGGGGGAGTGTTTGGGTAAGTCTGACAGGGTAATCAACAAACACGGGGGAGTGTATGGGTAAATCTGACAGGGTAATCTACAAACACGGGGGAGTGTTTGGGTAAATCTGACAGGGTAATCTACAAACACGGGGGAGTGTGTGGGTAAATCTGACAGGGTAATCTACAAACACGGGGGAGTGTGTGGGTAAATCTGACAGGGTAATCTACAAACACGGGGGAGTGTATGGGTAAATCTGACAGGGTAATCTACAAACACGGGGGAGTGTATGGGTAAATCTGACAGGGTAATCTACAAACACGGGGGAGTGTATGGGTAAATCTGACAGGGTAATCTACAAACACGGGGGAGTGTGTGGTATGGGTAAATCTGACAGGGTAATCTACAAACACGGGGGAGTGTATGGGTAAATCTGACAGGGTAATCTACAAACACGGGGGAGTGTATGGGTAAATCTGACAGGGTAATCTACAAACACGGGGGAGTATATGGGTAAATCTGACAGGGTAATCTACAAACACGGGGGAGTGTATGGGTAAATCTGACAGGGTAATCTACAAACACGGGGGAGTGTATGGGTAAATCTGACAGGGTAATCAACAAACACGGGGGAGTGTATGGGTAAAAATGACACCTTAATCAACAAAATCGTGGAGAGTTTATGTTTTACTCTTATATGGTAAAAACCGAACATGGTGAGGGTCTAATGGTTAGTTTACCTGAAGTCAAATTCAAGATAACTGCTGTACTATAATCATAAACCATTGACTTAAAGAATATATACATTATATGTAAAATATGTCTATGTTCAATGACGCCATAATATATAATTAAACATAGGCAATTATTTTACCAATCTGATACGCATTTTTCATACCACAGCGGATACTGTCCAGGAAATTGTGGCACGCAAGGTGGCGCTGTATATGGTTACAAACAATATACACTTGTAAGTATTCTGAATAAATTTGGTATTAGAATAATATACTGGACGTGAAGTTTATCTAACGGCGAAATGTTTTGGAAATATAACAGTTTTCATGAAATGCAGACTGTAGGTAACTTTAACCAGGTAGTTTGTTAATGGTTTTCGTAAAGACTATGGCACAGGTAACCAAAGGTGAATACACAAGTAAATACACAGGTAACGAAAAGTAAATATACCGGTAATCAAATATGGTTACACAGGTAAAACACAGGAACCAAAAGGTGAATACACAGGTAAATACACAGGTAATAAAAGGTGAATACACAGGTACATACACAGGTAACGAAAGGTAATTATACAGGTAATCAAATGTGATTACACAGGTAAAACACAGGTAATAAAAAAGGTAAATATAAAGGTAACCAAAAAGTGAATATACAGGTAAAACACAGGAAACAATACACCGTTAAATACACAGGTAACGTAAGGTAAATACAATAGTAAAGTATTGGTAAAACAAAAGGTAAATAAACAGGTAACCAAAGGTGAATACACAGGTAATCAAATGTGAATACACATGTAAAATATTGTTATCAAAATGTTTATATACCGGTAGATGCAAATGTAACCAAAGAGAAATATGCATGTAACCTAAGATAAATACACAGATAGTGAAAGGTGAATACACAGGTAAATACACAGGTAACCAAAAGTAAATACGCAAGTAACCCAATGTGAATTCACAGGTAAATACACAGGTAACGAAAGGTGAATACACAGGTGACCTAAGATAAATAGACAAGTAACCAAACGTATATAAACAGGTAAATTCACATGTAACCATAAGTAAATAAACATATAACCGAAGTTAATACACAGGTAGTGAAAGGTGAATATACAGGTAAATTCACAGGTTACCAGAGGTCAATATACAGGTAAATTCACAGGTTACCATAGGTCAATATACAGATAAATTCTCAGGTTATCAGAGGTCAATATACAGGTAAATTCACAGGTAATCAGAGGTCAATATACAGGTAAATTCACAGGTTATCAGAGGTCAATATACAGGTAAATTCACAGGTTATCAGAGGTCAATATACAGGTAAATTCACAGGTTATCAGAGGTAAATATACAGGTTAATTCACAGGTTATCAGAGGTCAATATACAGGTAAATTCAAAGGTTATCAGAGGTCAATATACAGGTAAATTCACAGGTAATCAGAGGTCAATATACAGGTAAATTCACAGGTAATCAGAGGTCAATATACAGGTAAATTCACAGGTTATCAGAGGTCAATATACAGGTTAATTCACAGGTTATCAGAGGTCAATATACAGGTAAATTCACAGGTTATCAGAGGTCAATATACAGGTAAATTCACAGGTTATCAGAGGTCAATATACAGGTAAATTCACAGGTTATCAGAGGTAAATATACAGGTTAATTCACAGGTTATCAGAGGTCAATATACAGGTAAATTCAAAGGTTATCAGAGGTCAATATACAGGTAAATTCACAGGTTACCATAGGTCAATATACAGGTAAATTCACAGGTTATCAGAGGTCAATATACAGGTTAATTCACAGGTTATCAGAGGTCAATATACAGGTTAATTCACAGGTTATCAGAGGTCAATATACAGGTTAATTCACAGGTTACCATAGGTCAATATACAGGTTAATTCACAGGTTATCAGAGGTCAATATACAGGTAACCGATTAACTCATCTGAAATGGAGTTATATCCTCCTAACAACAACCTTCTAACAATTATATATAACTAAATAGAGCGGATGAAGGGCCTGCATACGTAAAGCGAATTGGGCACAGTCAACATAGGTATATAGAGGGCGCCCTAATGACTTAAAGGGTCGATAAACAGAGTCCTCTTGTTGGGCGTTTTTTTTTTTTTTTTTCAGCAATCCGTAGTGTGCTTATCAGCAAGGCATTCGGGAACAACAGGAAATGACGTCATTTGGCAAATAAAACAAGGTGGCAACACATTCGAGGGTAAATTAAGCAATGGAATCCTTAGCCAATAGTAAGTAATGTAGTGTATTCAATTCATTAGCAGAATATTAGCATGTTTCAACAATTGAAAAGTACAGCATTGAAAATGAAAACCTCAGTATGTTATCGATATGACAATATTTACTTGTAAAAACGATCATGATATCAAATTTAAAATTCGTTTCCTTTAGATAGTTCATTTAGGAACCATGTCACAATTTTTAAAAAAAATTTTAAAGAAAACCCATAAATATCTCGTTTAGTGAAATCTTATAAAATCGCCACACTATAAGTTTCCTTAAATATACATCGTGATTAACCCAAGTAAATATCGATTTAACATTAGATTAATTCACAATGAGAAACTGTACTCGTGTATTCTGTATATATAGTAAGTGCTGAACCATCATTTCAGTTCCGGTCCTCTAGCAGAAACAGCACAAATCTGGGAGGGGCCAACCGGCCCCGCCCGGCCAGCCAACGCACCTGTATTAGGATGAGGCCAAGCCCAAACCGTCAATATGTCCATATCCCGAGGACGGAACGCAATCTAAACTCACCAACTCTTCATCGTACACATTTCTGTCTCCATTGCTCCGAGTCACAATGTGACGCTTTAATAAAATTATCTAAAAACTTGTTTGATCTATTTATCATGGTTTTTTAAAACTTTTTTGCTTTACGGTCCAAAAAAATTTGAATTAAAACATTATCAAAGGCTTCTTCTCGTTAGTCGTCGTCTCTTTGAAACGCATCTGGTATCTTTTTTATTAGCACTGACTTGTGATAAGCTGGACGTGAAGTCCTCTCATACTCAGCAGCTGAATCATTGGTGCTTGTATATAACATGTATTATTGTTTTGAAAAAGCAAGCTGTGACCACAATCTGATGACGTAAACTTGTCACACAGAGTTTGTGTCTACTTCATAATACAAATACAAACAGCTCTCTAAACCTGGTATATCTATGTCTAAAATGATTTGAGAGGAAAATTTAAGTGACCTTATAAAAACTCCATACGATTTTCAAAATAAGCAACACGGCAAGAAAATTAAGAAAAAAAGTTTAGTTTGGAAAGGTAGCTTTTTAAAAAGTTTAAATATAGACACAATAAACAGTAGGTAATATGTTTACAAATTTATTTATAGATACAATATACACTAGGTACCACGTATACTTGTTTATTTATAGATACAATATACACTAGGTACCATGTTTACAAGTTTATTTATAGATACAATATACACTAGGTACCACGTATACTTGTTTATTTATAGATACAATATACACTAGGTACCATGTTTACAAGTTTATTTATAGATACAATACACAGGTAATGAGTATGAGATGTATACCCAATGATAAAACATCAAGTTTCTCCACGTATATAGCGGTTCAGTGCACACGAGATCACACGAAAAGATAGTCAAAAGTTTCTTGTGATTTACTGTGCAGTCAGGCATGGCCATGAACATATTCCCTGTTAACAACCACAAGGCGTCACTTGCTAATTCACAGGTAAGAATTGACTATCTACATATTGACGTATAGAAATATATACATGAAAATCTCCATATCAAAACATGTACCAACAAAGCGTACATAGTTTATATATATATATATATATATACTGTATCTGTTTTTATGTTTTATGTATGTGATGATGTAAGGTATGTTATATTTGTGTCTTGATAAAGGGGCAGGTTTCCTCGAAAATTTGACAATTATATTTAATATTGTTATTAGTTCATTGATCATGTATGGATATATATATAATATTATGTATAGTTCGATTTTCATATAAATACAAATTAAAACTTGTTTTAATACAATTTATGCAGGCATGCTGTGCATTCATTTGTATATAATATTTGTTTTGTTTTATTGGAAGGCACTTTAAGGGATAAGTGAGGCAGTCACATGTATTACTCATGCGCAGTAATATGTGGCTATTTTTAGATGCTATATAAATAAATCACAAAGCTAATTTAACTATGGTGTCCTAGGCTCGGTTAACGTTAAGCTCAAAAAAAACAAAATTAACTTCAGAAGCTGAAGATCAAGTATGGCGGATGAAGGTTCGTACAGTCAAGGTCATTTCTTTACCTTTAGCTCTCGCCTATGTTTTTTAACATTTTTATCTCTTTTTATATGATAAGTTTAGCCCACCTCCATCCCCTTTCTGCCTTCCTTTCAATTGTTATACAATACCATCTAGTGTTGTATGTTTTTTCCTCGTATGTAGCATAATTAATGTTTGTTTTATGTTAAGTTGTATTTGGCGGGCTTGGACCCCCATCTAAGACTTTTTGTGGCTTTATAATGTTATATGTTAAATTTGTGTATTTCATGATAACCGACGTTTAAGAATCAACAATCAAGTATCAATTCAAGCTAACAGCTGATTTAAACATTAGATGTGAGGACTGTTCACCACCATTACTGTGTAGTGTAGTGAACGTCACATCACAGACATCCAATGTACACAACTCGGCCAGATTATGACCAGATAACATTAATATGATGGCTCAATCTCTGTTTTTCCAACTTCAGTTTGAAACAATGTAGTGTGTACACGACTTTCATTTGTTGATCAAAGGTGTTATATCAAACGATGGTAATGTTGGTAGTAACCACACCGTGTCGTATCTGCTCGAATACTCCGACTGCGATTGTTGTATTAGTTTAATCTATGTAAAAATGAAAAAAGGAAAGGGCTAGATGGAAAATGTGCAGAAAGGTCATTAATCCGATCAAATGTCTGAAAGCAAAGTAAAACACCTATTTAGCAATTAAATGTAATTTGATCATCTCAACGAGCGTACAATCTACCTATGTTTATATCGATATTCTCTAATGCCTGGTGTGTTTATATCGATATTCTCTAATGCCTGGTGTGTTTATAACGATATTCTTTAATGCCTGGTGTGTTTATATCGATATTCTCAAAAAGAAATATTTTGTTAATTCTATCCTTGAAACAAAAACTCATAAATTGTATCAATGGACTTTTTTGCTCTTATGTATGCAATGTCAGTGCTATATATTCATCATTGAATTAGTGTTATCACTTATCAGTCTTTAGTGTCTCGTATATGCCGTTAGTGCTGTAACATCAATCAGTTTCTAATAGTGTGACATATAAGTGCAGTGTATTTATTAGTATTCATAGTCATGTTGCATATATTTGTCATTTCCTGGTGCTGTATATTTATAAGTTTTTGTAGTAGTGCTGCATATATTTATCATTTCCTAGTGCTGTATATATGTCTTTAGTTATGTGCTGATATGTTGTACATTGATCTTTCTTTAGATCAAAATTTTGTACCTTATAGATTGATTTGTGTTTATAACGATATTCTTTAATGCCTGGTGTGTTTATAACGATATTCTTTAATCCCTGGTACGTTTATATCGATATTCTCTAATGCCTGGTGTGTTTATAACGATATTCTCTAATGCCTGGTGTATTTATATCGATATTCTCTAATACCTGGTGTGTTTCTATCGATATTCTCTAGTACCTGGTGTGTTTATAACGATATTCTCTAATGCCTGGTGTGTTTATGTCGATATTCTCTAATGCCTGGTGTGTTTATATCGATATTCTCTAATGCCTGGAGTGTTTATAACGATATTCTCTAATGCCTGGTGCGTTTATAACGATTTTCTTTAATGCCTGGTGTGTTTATATCGATATTCTCTAATGCCTGGTGTGTTTATATCGATATTCTCTAATGCCTGGTGTGTTTATATCGATATTCTCTAATGCCTGGTGTGTTTATATCGATATTCTCTAATGCCGGGTGTGTTTATATCGATATTCTCAAAATGCCTGGTGTGTTTATATCGATATTCTCTAATGCCTGGTGTGTTTATATCGATATTCTTTAATGCCTGGTGTATTTATATCGATATTCTCAAAATGCCTGGTGTGTTTATATCGATATTCTCTAATGCCTGGTGTATTTATATCGATATTCTCTAGTACCTGGTGTGTTTATATCGATATTCTCTATGCCTGGTGTGTTTATATCGATATTCTTTAATGCCTGGTGTGTTTATATCGATGTTCTCTAATGCCTGGTGTGTTTACAGCGATATTCTCTAATGCCTGGTGTGTTTATATCGATATTCTCTAATGCCTGGTGTGTTTATAACGATATTCTCTAATGCCTGGTGTGTTTATATCGATATTCTCTAATGCCTGGTGTGTTTATATCGATGTTCTCTAATGCCTGGTGTGTTTATATCGATATTATCTAATGCCTGGTGTGTTTATGTCGATATTCTCTAATGCCTGGTGTGTTTATAACGATATTCCCTCATAGAAATTGATAAATGTTAAATAAAAAAAGTAGTGTTTAAAAATAAAAGGGCAATTTCGTTCCTGCTGCAACAATTTAGGTGTGTAATTCATCGTACACCGGTTGACATTATTCCCCTGACACCGCCTAACCTAATTCATCTGACACCGTTTCAGCAACTTTCATAATCTGTATCAACATGTGTTAACACAAGATCTTCTTCACCTGTGTTATTACCATATACGGTTCACTGAATGCTATAGTTAAAAGTGTTTGTCATGCTCTGATTTCCATTATAGAATAGATGAGCTCCGCCGATACTTATTTCACCACTGAACTTGTGGACGGCTAGCAGATGAGCAACCGAACTTTTGACGGACGATACAATATGATCGAACAGAAAACAGATTCCAGGTCTTTAGAATCTGAGGATGGACTTCATAGTGACACGTGCTGTGGCCGCACGTGCTGTCGTGCCGTACAAAGATATCGAGATGATTCGTCATTCAGGCAGCACATAATGAGGACCGGATGTCTATATATATCACTGTTTACACTGGTAAGTATAGAATAACTCCAACCTGATTTATATTTCGTCGATTTTAGTAGTGAGCATACTTATGATCACTTGTATCTACGAACCAAGTGTTATCGACAACCGTCCTTTCTTCACCAACCTGTGTTATTGACATATGTTTCAAAACTCATGATTTTCTCTGATGATGTCGACAGCTATTGGAGACGCTCACAACAAAGATGGCGATAGTAACATTAAATCACATTGGGAATTCTTCTATTGTAAACAGTATTTTATTTTCTGAATAACATGAACATATAAGTATACATATTGAAACACATTGGGATTAGGAAAACAAGCTTGAAGCTTATATTAATCCTTCTCCCAGAAAATTATTTGTATAACGATTACGTATGGTGGCCTAATATACACTTATATTAATTTAGTGTTTAGTTAATTTTGGTGTAAAGGGAAAAACAAATAACAAAAAGGAATAAGTTGGTGGAATACATGGTTAATGTACAAATTGTATTACGTAACAATATTTTAGGAGTCTTATGTGCAATTTGCAAAGAAAAAATAATAAACGGGACAGTTACTGTCAGACAAATAGAATTATATTACTCAAAACAATATGTTTAGTCAAATTTCTTACTGTAAAAAATGAAATTTTGG